AAATCATCCAGCTCCACCCCCTGCCATGGGCAGGGACACTTTCCAGTACACCAGGTTGCTCTGAGCCCCATCCAGCCTGGCCTTGGACACTTCCAGGGATGGGGCAGCCACAGCTTCTCTGGGCAATCAGTGCCAGGGCCTCACCACCCTCACAGTACCTTATTTTTAAATTAGATTCGTTTGTTCTCTTGCCAAGAAAAAAATCCCAAACCAACCCACCCTATGTCCCTGATCATGGCAGGGGTTGGAAGGAGATGAGCTTTAAGGCCCCTTCCAACACAAACCAGTCTGGGAGGGGAGGGGGCTGCAGAGAGGCCAAGCCCAGGCAGCGACACCAGGTGACAGACCAACGTGATGCCATTCCCTGCTCCACAAAGGGTCCACATCCACCTGGACCTTGGTGGAGACTTGGCTCCCCTCCACAGCATCAGCCAGAAGCATTTTATCCATCTTCTGAGCCATGAGATAAAAACAAAGAGGATTTGAGGCAGAGATGTCACAGAGAGACAATTTCATCAATGTCACGACTCCCAGTACTTTTATTATGGCTTTAATTCCACATCTACTTTGAGAAGGACTCCACTGTGAACTGCAGCTTCTCATCGTGGCATTCCAGTGTATCACGGGTTTTCTTCACTTCAATGTCTCCTTAAGAGAAAATGTCTTTACAGCTCAAAAATGCTGCAAATGAGAGTTCAAAGACAACCTCCAGCAGGCACTGGGGCGATCCAGGCTCCATCAGCTGGAAGCTGGAGCCTGGAGCTGCAGCTGGGACTGGTTTGTGCCCACAGAACACACGGCACTGTGGGGACGAGCCCTCGCTCAGCACACACAGAGACAGGGACACAGGAGAAGGGTCAGGGAGGAAAAAAGGAATATGAATGGATATCCTAGGGAATTTCTGTTTTAAACCAGCCATGCTGTCTATCTTCTCTGCCATCCTGTGGTCATTAAACCATCCGTGGATTTTCTGAATCAGCAGGTAGCAATTAATCCTTCACTCTTACAGGGTATCAAAATGAATCTTTAACCTTTACCTTGTGACGAAGCATTTCCATATAAAACACTCCTCTTCTATCAGTATTCTACCCACGGACTTTGAGTGTGGGAATGCTTGGAAATGGGTTCAGTTCCATGTGCTTTACATATTTTTCATTTTAAAGAAAGATGAAAAACCATGACCCAGAGAATCCGGTCCATTAGGATAATCTCCATAATTTTGTAGTCATTAAAAAAAAAAAAAAATCCTACTTGTTCCTATTTTCATTCATGTGTTGAAGCTGTTTCTGAGAGACCCCAAAAGTTTAAGTAGTTTCTGAATAGAAACGCAGTTGTAAGTCTGGTGTAATAAGGAACAATGGTGCCACCAAGTGGGGACGTGTTGCAGGAGAAAAAATCGAGATTTCTTTCATTTTCAGTTGAGATGGAAAGTCACAGAAATAGCCACTCCAGTGATGGCCATTACATTGCCTTTATCCCCAGATTTGGAGGTTCTATATCTGTTATTTATAATTTTAAGTACCACAGGGTTGAAAAAATCGTAAAAATTTTAAAGTGTTTGAAAAGTCTTTCCGATTCCAAACTTTTTCTCTTTCCATACACAGAGCAGCTGTGGCTGCCCCATCCCTGGAAGTGTCCAAGGCCAGGTTGGACGTGGCTTGGAGCAACCTGGGCTAGCGGAAGGTGTCCCTGCCCATGGTGGGAGTGGGACTGGATGGGCTTTAATGGCCCCGTTGCAGCGGTAGCCCAGGACAGCAGGGAGCACTGCTGCACACGGGAAGCCACCGAGATATTCCCAGCAGGAGCACTCACAGCCAGAAGGAGATAAGCAGGACAGCAAAGAGCAAAAATCATTCCCATCTTTTAAAAAAAAAGGAAAAAAAAAGCTGAAACATGCAATAGTTGAGCACCACACAATTGTGCCATGTAATAAAACAAATATTTGCAACACATTATTAGTGGCACTTCAGGAACACCCTGTATATTTGAATATTTGAAAGCCTAAGGGCTAAACTTCTCACAAAAACTTTGGTGTTTACAGTTACCTCAATGTTTAATTCCAGAGAAGACAGGAAGCAGGTTGCATGCAGGAAACACTGATCTAACCAGTGTCCCAGCAGTGCTAAGGGAACCCCAGAGCTCACAGACAAAAGGCCAAAGTCAGTGACATACAAATTAAAGATAAACTACAGCACTGCAAAGGAAAAAACAAAAGGTTTTGTAAGCACTGAGTATCAAATTTGCTGGGTGGATATTTATGTGAGTTTGTAATTGCTGAGTAGCTCAAAATAAATCAAAATACAATCTTTATAACTTCAATCAGTATTTAAAACTACCTGATCAGAGTTGTAGGTGACATCCTGTGTGAGCTTCCCAAACCCTAGGGTGAGCCAGATCTGACTTATCAGTGTAAACACACAACCCGAGAGTCATAAAATCACCAAGTCATTTAGGAAAAGCCCTCTGAGATCATCAAGCCCAAGGGTTCCCCAGCACTGACAAGGCCACCAATAACCCATATCCCCAAATGCCTCATTCACACAGTTTTTCAATCCCTCCAGGGATGGGGACTCCACCACTGCCCTGAGCAGCTGTGTCAGGGCTGAACCTCCCCTGGCACAACTCGAGGCTGTTTCCTCTCATCCTGTCCCTTGTTCCCTGGCAGCAGAGCCCAACCCCCCCAGCTCCACTCTCCTGTCAGGGAGTTGCAGAGCCAGAAGGTCCCCCCGAGCCTCCTTTTCTCCAGGCTGAGCCCCCCCAGCTCCATCAGCCAATCCTGCTGCTCCAGACCCTTCCCCAGCTCTGTTCCTTTCCCTGGACACGCTCCAGCCCCTCAATGTCTCTCTGGTTTGAGGGTCCCAGAACTGCCCCCAGCACTGGAGATGCCCAGCAGTGCCAGCACAGGGACAGTCACTGCCCTGGGCTGTGACACACCATGGCTGGCACTGGGGCCATTGGCCTCTTGCCCACCTGGGCACACCTGGGCTCATGTCCAGCCGCCATCACCAGCACCCCCAGGGCCTTTCCCACTGGGAATTTTCCAGCCTAGAGTGTTCAAGGGGTTGTTGTGACCCAGCTCTTGGATTTGCTGTCCCTCACCCCATTGGCCTTGGCCCATGGACCCAGAAGAGCAATGACACTTCATCCTTACTGACAACATTCTTGCCACTGTGCAGTGAAAGATAAGGTTTGAGAATGTGCTGCCCATAATTTATTCATCCTAAGCAGTACTGAATTGATTGGAAGTACCCAAACAATGCCCCAAATGAGGAGGGATCTGTTGGCATTACATCCTAATTGCCAGCAGCCAGCTCCATTTTCTGTGTGATTGCACACGCACGCTGGGATGCACATCTATCCATGTTCCTGTCAGTGTACACGGCAGTTTGGATATTGTTACCATGGCCTAAATGCTCCACACAAGGACAGGCATAAATCTCCATAACCAGTCCCTGAGGGCCAGAGCAAGGGCAAAGTACTGCAGCAGCATGGGAAAGGTGCAGGGACAAGGTCAGCCCCTGAGCTGACAGCAGGAGTTCAGGTCATCCCAGCCCTCACCAGCTACCATCAGCACATCTACAGTCACACAATAATCCCTCCCCATTGATAGCCTGGCCCTCCAGACCTCACCCCCAGCATTTCAGGTATTTGCCCAGTTCTGCACATCCTGGTGTGCCCAGACCTTCTCCACTGTCCCACCCATACTTGTCATCCCCGGGCACTCTCAAGCTGATGAACTGTCAGGTATTTTGTTCTGCCATCTCCACATCTCAGTACACTCGTCCTGGCACTTACCAAAGAGCCACAGGCTCTCCTGGAGAGGAACATAGGCAGGAGCTACACCACCTCCTCAGGAGCTGCTAAGCCATTTGCAGGCAGGCGCCTTCACAAAGAGGCATCAAACTCACCCAGTTCCTCTGAAACAAGAAGCTTTCAGCAGCCCAGGTGGGAGATGGCAGCTTTTTCAACCCCACCAGTCCATCTCTCCAGCAGAAACAGTCATTCCCTTCTGATTTCTCAGGCAGAAGCAGCACTCCCAGGTTTCCAGAGAAACCCCTCTCATTGCTGTGACTTTTTCTGCAAGGTGTCCCTAAAAACACCTTCTTCCCCAGGTCAGCACCTGTTCTCAAATGCATTACATGGCTTCTAACTTCAAAGTTTCCCTTCTCTGACTTTCAAGAAGCTCAATTTCCTATAAAAAATTTCTGTCATAAAGAGACTTTGGTGCAGTAGCTTATTAGTAATCTCAGCTCTCCCCACTGCCTCCCACATCTTCAGAATCCCTGGAGAAAACAATTTTCCTTTGATTAGGGGGAAAACACCTTCTCTTCCAGTTTATATCAGAGCGCCTGAAACCCAGTGCTGAATTTGGGATGGAGACCCAGTACTTGTGCACTCCAGCCCCAAACACAGGCACAGGGGAGCAGAGAGTCCTGGGCTCCCAAGCCTGGGAGAGGCAGTGAAAAACAGCCAGTGAAAAACAGCCAGTGAAATCAGCTCAGTTCAAGGCCCTGGAAAACACCTTCCCATTGAGAGCTGGAAAGCTGTGCCCTGAGCCATGTTGCTGAGTGATGTTTGTCAATTGAGTTTAATTTGGAATTGCTCTTTGCTTTCTCTCCATCTCTACAAAATGTCAGTTAGGGACTCTGCTCCCCTGTGCCCGTGGTTGGGGCTGGAGCCCTCCAGAGGGATTTGGGGTTTTCTTGGGATGCTTCAAGAATTTATATTTATAACATGCCTCAGATAACAAAAAGAGATTTGTAAAATGAGGAGTGTGACGCCTGGTTTGGGTGTGCTGAGTGCAGAGAAGCTGTGAAGTGCTTGCACACCTTTAACAGTGTTGTACACTCTGAGCCAGCCCCAGCAGCAGGACTTGACATATGCACAGCTCGTACCATCCCACTGATGGTGCATCACAACAGCAAACCAACACTCCCCACCCCCTTTACCCTCACAGCCCCTCCTCACCAGAACCCTGCGTGTTTGCTTGCCCTGCTCACCACCAAGGGGAAGGCTCCAGTAGCTCAGACTCCAGGAGAGTTCTGACAAAAATATTGGCCTGAGGATAAAGAGGAAAGGTTAAAACTTGGAAACACTGTGCAAAAATCAGTAAAGTTCAAAATTATTAACCATGTGTGTGCTGCAACACTGCAATAAGTTGAAGGTACAGCTAAAATGTACATCCCCTCTGGAGTGTGACCCCATGTGGATGCCAGCAAAGCAAACCAGCTAAGAGAGATGAACTGGAACCCAGTGACTCCCAATCACAGCCAAGCTCCCTGAGTGTATCTGCCCAGGTAACCAGCCAGGGCTTGTAATACAACAACATCAATAGGATTTTTTTATGGGTATGCCTTAGCTGGCAGCTTTTATGACATTCAAATGTAAGTGAATCAACAGAAAAGGCTTCGCATTGCAATTGGGATTTAAAAGAGTTTAACAATAGAGACAACTTGCACTACTAATAAAACTTGTGTTCTTTAAGAGTATATTCCATTTCCATCAGCAATCCTCAGGTGGGAAGTGGCTGCAAACACTTCATAAGCTTGTGCAAGGAATACAGGGCAGTGGAAATAACTGAACCAAATTCTCAGCACATGTGTGTGCTGTTTTCTGCAGTGCTGTTTGCCCTGGCTCCCGTCCCAGTGCCAGCCTGTGTTTAACAGCTCGTGCTGTTCCCTGAGGACATAGCTCCTGTCAGCACTGCAGGACAGAGCTAATGGATTCTCCTTCAGCTGAGCAGCTCAGGCAGGAACATTTCACCACTAATAGAAGTGGCCACCACATAACAACACTACAGTGACAGTTCTCCAACCTCGCTGAGATTACCTGAGATATTCCATGTTCTGGCAGATGAACATTTTAGGGCTACTGCTGTGCAGCTCAGGACTTCTGATGAGCTGTGGGTCTCTTGAGCCAGGATAGCCCCTGTTCCTGCTCACACCCCTGCCTTTGGCTGTGCCTGAGCACAACACACAGCATGACTCCCAGGAACATTCCCAAGTTTGTTCCACAGCAGTTGAAGCCCAGGACACGTCAAAGGCTTGTGAGTCTATTTCCTCCCACGTTTTACAGCTCAAATTGTAACTATAATCAACAACATTCCTGTTCTCTTTTTTGATAGAAACTTGTTTCACATTCTGGAAGACCTGCAACATGTGTGTGAAGCTCGTAGCAAAGTTCTGGATGACTGCACGTGTATCTTGGATAATAGGGACTTACGAGGGCTCCAGGAGGATACACAGCTGTGCCCCGACCTCCCTGGCATCACTGGGGAGCATTGATGGCTTCAGCTGCTGTGGCACCAGCTCATGCCCAGGGACAGCAGCTCTCTGTGGGACACAAGGCTGGAGCACAAAGCACCCTCAGTGCCACAGCTCTCGGTGTCAGAGCTGTCCCACACAGCCTGTCCCACGCAGCCTCCCTGTCCCAACATACTTCCCTATCCCGAGGGAATGGCCCTGTCTCCACTGACCATCCTGGATTGCCCCAGTGGGGCAATAAAAATATCTGAAATACACATGGCAGTTGCCCCTGGTTTGGAATTCACTCACTTCACACACCGTTATTGCTACAAGGGGCACAGGGCACACAGGTTGGAGATAGAAGAGTTTAACAATCCTTAAGATTTCACTCTGTGGAGCCTGTAGTAACATATTCTGCTACCAACATCCACTAACAGCTCAAGGATTCTTTTTGAGCCTTCCAACCCAATTTAGCTTCACCATATGTTAGTGCTACTTGCTTCAACACTGAATTTTCTCCATTATTTCGCTACAGCTAAAACACTCTTTTCTTATTTCGAATATACTTTTAATGCTTACTGAAAAAAACCAAAACAAACCAAACAACACTTTAAGCAGATGATGGGTCTGGAAGCCAACCAAATTTACCAGCACCCTGTTGGACAAAGGGTAGGCAGCACACTCACCTGGCTGTGAAAAAGTTTCAACATTTCATTTATGGAATCATCAATCCCAGAATGGTTTGGGTTGGAAGAAAACTTCAAGCTCATCTCATTCCACACCCTGTCACAGGTAGGGACACTTTTCACTATCCTAGGTTTCTCCAAGCCCCGTCCAACCTGGTCTTGGACACTTCCAGGGATGGGGCAGCCACAGCTTCTCTGGGCAACCTGTGCCAGGGCCTCACCACTCTCACAGGGAAGGATTTTTTTCCAATATCCCATCTAACCCTGCCCTCCTTCAGCTTAAGGCCATTCCCTCTTGTCCTATCCAGTCCCATCTCCCTTAAACCCCCCCCATTGTTTAAGAGTTTTGCTGAACACTTTTCCCAAGCCAAAGCCTGGTGAGCAGAGCACCCCAAAGGTGTATTATGGCACTGCTGCTGGGATGTGCATTTCCTGCAGCAGCCAACAAGGAGTGTGAAAGGGCTTGTTAATCCCATTTATTTTTAAGCCCAGATTTTGGCCCATATGGCCCTTTGGTCCTTTGACCCTCCTGAAATTACATTCTGCAATCAGCACGGTGAAAAAAATAGCCTTCACTCAAGCCTCTGCTATCTCAAACTAGAAAAGCTGCATCAAGAAGAAGTGCCATTCCCTACGTTTCTGTGGATCCCACACACAGGTCTGAGGGCTTCTCCTTGCGGTTGATCCAAACTGAGGGGAGACACCTCGGTGTCTGCAGCTTCCTCTGAGGGGCAGCAGAGGGGCAGCTCCAATCTCTGCTCCCTGTGACCAATTACAGAACCCAGGGAATGGCTGGAGCTCTGCTAGGAGAGGGTTGGGGGGATCTCAGGAAAAGGTTCTTCCCCCAGAGAGTGGTTGGGCACTGAACAGGCTCCCCAGGGCAGTGGTCACGGCCCCAAGGCTGCCAGAGCTCAAGGAGTGTTTGGACAAGGCTCTCAGGGACAGGGTGGGATTTTTAGGGTGTCCTGGGCAGGGCCGGGATTGGACTGATGGTCCTTGTGGGTCCCTTCCAGCTCAGGATATTCCATGATTCTATTAAATAAATAGGTGTTTTCCTAACTGGAGTGTTCACATTAGAATTCAAACATTTCCTTTACAAAGAGCAGTGTTTCTTTCTCTTTTCATCCCACCTTAAGCATCCACATTGGTTTCATGCAGGAGGACACAGTTTGGGAACAAGTCCTGGATGTCCACCCTGTTCCCCGTGGGTGAGGACTGATGCAGAGTCCGGGGAGCGCAGTCCCTGCAGGCACACCTTGCCCAGGCAGTGACTCACAGCTCTGCTGGGACAGGTTTGGAACTTTTCTTCTCCAAAGGAAAAATGTGCAGGTTGCAATTAAAATCTGGGTGAGGCTGGACAAACCCAGAAATGTTTGGAATTATTCCGAACTTTTAATTGAAGTTGGAGAGCGGAGCAGCTGCAGTGGGGTGGGAATGAGACTTTGACATTTAGGGAAGTGTCAGTGAGCAGAAATCTTGCTGTCACAGATATGAGTCACCCTCTGCTGTGCCTGACAGCCGTTCTCTCCAACTTGAGATCAAGATAATTTCATTTTAATCTGAGAGAAGCAGAGGGATGAGCAATTCCATTCATTTATAATACAAGTTGCCTTTAAAGGTAACTGGAAAATGAATCCTTTGGCAAGATGTTCATAGTTTGTTGCTGCAGAGGCGTTAGAACAGCACAAAGGGCCCTCTCTGGATGGACAGCATGGCACAGAGAAGTCACATCCACTGTCCCCAAAACAAAGTCTGCTTAGGGAAGACACACTCTGTGTTGGGGGAAGCTGGGAGAAACTGGGAGAAACCAAAATCAGATAGCACAGCATGTGAGAAGGCAGAGATTTATGTTATTACAGTAACAAGATTGAAAACATTTGGCTCCCCTTTTAACCTGAAGGATTACAATGGCACACTTGGTTCCTTCCAACAGCAATTCCCATTGGGAAAGAAGTAGGTGGAACCTCTGCGAACCAGCCCTGCAGCAAACTGGCACGGACTGGGCTCAGCAGGACAGAGCAGCAAACCACTTGTGAAAAAGGCAATAATAACCTTTAACTGAGATGAATCTGATTGGAAACAAGACAGAATTCCCAGCTTTCAGGCAAATAAACCACAAGCCCCCACAGTGTTCAGTAACATGGAAAACTGCGCATGGGAAGGGCATGGAGGGGAGGTGTTTTAAGGATGGCGTTTTAAGCCATCAGGCTTTTCCAACTCAAATGATTCTGTGATTCTATCTCAGTGCTAAAAATTAAGGATGGCTCTGACTGAAGTGATTACCACCTCATGACTGCCACACCTCGTTACATTCCAGCAGAGCACATCCAGACTTCATGTTCTTTATACCTTAAAATTATTTGTATGAGCCAAATCAATCAGGAGAAAGAGCAAAAACAGCTGCAAAACCCACAAAGAATTGGCATAAGAAGACTTTGCTGAATGTCCCTGAGTCGTAACCCACCTCCAAGGAGAATCCAAAGCAACTGTTACCCATCACCACCAACCACAGTATTTCTGTAGAGTCATACTGTGGGCAGGAGCCAGGAAAGAGGATTCAGAGAAAGGACATCATTTTTGAAGGAAGAAGCTGAAAATCAGGCCTCTGTGAAGGGCCCCAACAACCTGTATTGGAGTGATGGGGGAAACAGGCAGAGTTTTGACACTGCTGACAGTGGCACGTGGAGAAACCGGGTTGTTCACTTTCAGACGAGGGTTTGGCTGCCGAGGCACAACCAGAGGCTGTGGGATGAAGGCAAACAGCAGAAGGATTCCATGCAGGAGGAGTAACCTGCTGGAAAGGGAGACTAGGATGTGCTGGGGGTGGTGTAGGGCTACAGCAAACACGAAATGAAATAAAGAAGCCAACGACCAGCCTTGAGTCCATGCGGACTGAAATTACAAGACAAAACAAGAATGGTAGAGCATTAGTCAAAACTCCTGTCAGCCAAGCTGGCAAAGCTGCCTGCAATATGCTAAAGGTGCCTGAGAGGAGGAAAGGGAAAGTCACTCGTTATTTTCCCAGTCTCCACAAACTGGGCCAAACCAGGAGTAATGTGCAAACCTCACCTCAGCCACTACCAACTACTGCTCTATGGAACAGCACCAACTGCACCAAATGAGATGTGATCCCTGGCTTGGGCTGAGTGACAGGCAAAACCATTCCCAAATCCACAGCTCTCGTGGCTCCTTAACCAGGCATATGAAGGGACCATTCCCAAGATCCTCTGCAAGCAGCAACATTTCTGACACAACTCAGAAAGTGATTTCTACAGAAGTGCTTCCCGAGTTGCCTGGAGTGTTGGGAGAGCTCAAGATCTTTCCTTATAAAGCCAGAGAGCAATTACTGGATCACAGCATGGAGAACACAATAGAACAGACACTTTCTTCAGTCAGGAGGTGATTCAGCTATCAAAGAGTTTCTTTTGTTTCTATTTTGGGAGAAAAAAAAATCACTGCTTTCAGATGTCTAAAACTGACATTCCCAGGGTATGTTCACCAGGGCTGTCAAAGTGCTCTGTGATTCCTCCCTTCTCACACTCTGGCCTCTCTGACAACCGTGTGGAACACCTGGAAATGCCACCAGGAAAGCAGGACAACAAATGTGACCAACAGGGCACACTGTGCCTCTGCAGCCAGAAATAGAGAGCAGAGCACGTGCCCTCATCCCTTCCATCTCCTCATACAGGAGCTATCCAGAACACACACATGCAATGCGCCAGGAAAAAGGTCCTTCCTGGAACAGCTCCCTTTTCCAGGGTCATGAATCAGCTAGGGCCAGGCTGGCAGAGGGGGCTGCACATCACAGGGAGCTCTGCATGGGACAGGCTGGCGACAGCCAGGAAGGTGACGGCACTGCCAGAGGACTGGCACCTCAGAAGACCAGGGAGCCAAGGGAAAAGCTCCACCACCAGGTTTAGAACATTTTTGGACATGAAAAAGGGACTTTACTGAGGGGCTTGGATGCAAGGAGTCCTTGGTATGGAAAAAGAGAGTTTAAAGGACAATATTGCAGAGAGAACGCGGGGTCTCTGCTCCCTGTGCTGGGACAGGTGTATGAGCAGGTACCACACAATGGGGTGGGGGCAACACGAAGTCCAGGAGATGTTTATACACCATAAGGGAAAGAATATGCTTATACATCATAGGGATACACACTGTAAAAAATACAGGTAAAATGACCGAATACAGGGCTAATAAGGCAGCCCACTGACTGCCAAACCACAGGTTTACTCTGAAGTTTGGAAGACTGACAAAAATTCCATGGGAAAAAAAGTTTGTTGCGCTTCTCACCTAAGAATAATCAGGTGTTTTGATGTCAATTAGCATGTGATATGCATGTGATTGTTATCTGTTAATGAAACCTGACTCTGTGAGCCCACCAGCTGCACTCCCCTTTAGCATAAGTGCTATTTCCACAGCTTGCCCCGTGTTTTTTGCAGTTACCCTTCCAGCACGCTCTGTTTGCAGAGCAATAGCAGTGAGAGACCACTGGCCGAGCTCGGGGCTCTGTGAATCCTGAACAGAGAATGGAAAATACGCTGAGGAACAACTGCTGCGGGGTTGGCAGCACCTCCCCCAGCGTACGAGGGGGGCACGGAGCAGCTGCCCGCGGGGGGGGATCCTATTTCCAGAGCACATTTGGAAACTTCGCTCTCAGGAGCTTTTCTTGCAAAGTGTGGCAAGAGCAGAACGTCACTTTCTTTTAGTGCAACTCCTGAGTACACGGCACTGACCCATTGAACTGGGAACAGTCACTCCGTGCCTCAGTTCTGGGAATCCTACGAAAGCATCAGACCCACCCCCGTCCCACCCCTTGCGCAACACCCTCTCCGTGGGCCCCCCGCGCACCCAGAGCTGAGCAGGGAAAGCTTTCCCAGCACTCTTATCTCAGAACCCACCCCGGGCCGATCCCACAGCATGGGCAGCAGGGGAGGGGGGATTCTGCCCCTCTGCCCCACTCAGGTGAGACCCCACCTGCAGAGCTGCCTCCAGCTCTGGGGCCCAGCACAGGAAGGACATGGAGCTGCTGGAGCGAGTCCAGAGGAGGCATCAGGGTGATCAGAGGGATGGAGCAGCTCTGCTGTGAGGAAAAGCTGAGTGAATTGGGATTGATCAGCCTGGAGAAGAGAAGCTTTGGGGTGACCTAATTGTGGCCTTACAGTGCCTGAAGGAGCCGACAGGAAACACAGAGAATGACTATTTACAAGGGCCTGGAGTGACAGGACAAGGGGGAATGGCTTCCCACTGTCAGAGGGCAGGGTTAGGTGGGATATTGGGAAGAACCTTAGACAAAATCACAGACCACTATCCCAGGCTGCTCCAAGCCCCAGCCAACCTGGTCTTGGACACTTCCAGGGATGGGGCAGCCACAGCTTCTCTGGGCAACCTGTGCCAGGGCGTCCCCACCCTCACAGGATTTCTTCCCAATATCCCATCTAAACAAACTAGTTTCTTCACTTTAATTAACCTCTTATTTGAATATAATCCATGACAGCAGGTGCATTCTGCATATGAATCTTTTTTTGTTAAAGTGCTCCACAAGAACATAACAACACTTTAAAAAAGATGCTGCTCATAATTGCATAAATTAGAAAATGCAAAAATGCACATACCCATTTCAAGAGACTAACTTAATTATCAGCTGTTTTAACTTCAGGTTTCAAATAAGCAGAATATCATCAAAACAATTTACCTTTGTTGGCATTTGGATTCTCACTCAGATTGTACATACTCATTAATTTACATGAGCTTATGGCATATAAAGGTATCTGGTTCACTCCAAAAGCACACGTTAGTCCACAAAAAAAGGGGAAAAAATCCTCCCCACCCACAGAAACACTGAGGTAAGAATTAAGACTGAGTGTGTATCATAGACTCCAACCATTTCCCTGGGAGGGACCTGCAGGGCTCACCTGGCCCTTTCCTTAGTTTAACCTGGATTCCATGGTTGCAGCTCCCATGGATCGACTTCAGCTGTACCCATGGGGCACAAGCTCTCCTCTGCCTTCCCAGTCACTCCCTGGAAGGCTCAAAACACCCAAAACAGACACTAGAGAGGACAACAGTTATATTTATTTTTAAAACTCCACCATTACACACATAGCTTACCATCACGGCAACACAACACACACAAAAAAGCTGGTAAGAATATTGAGCTTCCACTGGGTTTTTATTTACTTTTAAAATTATGTTTCTTGTTAAAGAATTCCTAGAAGTTCCAGTCATAAACCTGATTCATGACTAGGAGCTGTCATCAAAACTGAAGCAGACACAGGCCAACAGTGTGACATCAAACCTCCCCTCTTGTAAGAGAACACAGCCAGCGTTGAGCTCAAGATGAAATAAGATTTCAAGGCCCAAGGCCAAGGCTGCAGCTCAGCTACACCTCACAGCATGCATAAACCTCATTATTTTTAATGATTCTGTCATTAATACAAAGTAATAAAATCTTCAAAAATAAAAACTTCAAGTCTGAGTTCCCTTAAAAATAAAATAAATACAGTTTGGATTTCCAGTAATGAAATACTCTCCCTTTTTGGGTACCCACACAATTATGTTGCACGTATAACATGACTTTTCTATATGGATATGGATGGATAATCAGTATGGCTGAATGTGCAAGTCAATCAGATAATAAACAGCACAACTTTCAACAGGAAAGTAGTTTTCCAAGCACAAAACTTGCTCCCTAAGTTCTCTATGAAGAGCAGAAACCAGATAACAAATGAACCACAATTAATACCCCTTGCCTTAAAAGATGACTCTCCTATAGCTACAGAGGAGACATCCAAGAGACAAAGCCGAAAATAATTTCATTTAAATTCTTAAATACACAACACACTGCATAAAGAATAAACACAAATCAAGTAATGAATTCCTAAATGGGCACAGACGTCATACCAAGAAATTAAATTCAGAAAACTTGAGTCAAATGCATTTCTGGATCTAAGGTGTCGGGGAGAGACTGCCAGCCCAGAGCAGAGACATCTCTGAGAGAACTGTCCTGAACTTGGGCAATGTTAGATTGCAGTCCTTCTGCAGAGAGATCCCGAGGAACCTACAGGTGGAATTCTGTTCAGTGAGAGACAAATATCCCTGCAGACAGTTCAATTTATCACGAACATGACTCTTGCTCTGTAAGGAAGCAGATGTTCTTTACTCATCTATGTTCAAGATCACAATTAACGGTGTCTGTTTATCAACTCCTTTCCTTGCATTTCCTGTGACCAACATGATTTTGGAAACTACCTCAGATTTAAGCCACAACAACACAGCCTTGTTACCTTTCCAAGCGCTTGGCCCTTCCCTAGGAGTTGGGGCTTTAGAGTTCATTAAGTTGTAACACTTTCTGAGGGGACTTTGAGGTCAAAAATACATCAACGTAGAGGTTTGGGAAAAAAAAAAATCATTTTGATTTCTTTCTGCTTTTTGGGACTTAGGGACAAAAATCGCCTCTGCACAGCTTCCAGTATGTGTGCTTTGAAAATAGCAGTCGGTGGAAGAGGCTGAAATAAAGGGAGCACCAGGAATATTCAGTTTATGAGACAGGAGTGTGTCTCTGGAGCTCTCCAGAATCCCGGGAAGGGGCAGTACCTGCCGCTGGTTTAAACACCTGGGTGATGGGTCACAGGGTGGATTCGATGATCTTGGAGGTCTTTTCCAAGCCCACTGGTTTTGTGGTTCTGTGTTCAATGTGTCCCAGGGCAGCGCCGCCCCCGCTGCCCGCCCTTCCTTCACCACGGGTCTGGCGCTCGCCGAGAGCGCAAACGACACAGAAGCACCTTCTCTTTTTTTTTTTAGGAACCATCCTCATTAACCCTTCCCGGAGGGAGCAGAAGTAAATCGGGAAGCACAGCGTTATCCCCCAGCCGGGGCGATCCCGCCCCGTCCCTTCACGTAAAGGCGCGTTCGGAGCGGCGCGCGTGGAGTCCCCGCGGCCGCCCGGGGAGCGACTCCGCGGCCGCAGCGCCACCTGCTCCTGCTCCCCCTCCTCCTCCCGCTCCTGCTGCCCTCCATCGCGCCCCGATCCCTCCGGGACAGCGCCGGGAAGCCCCCCCCGGCTCCCGGCCCGGCCCGCCCTCCCCGAGGGGAGCCGGCGGTGACGTCACGGCCGGGCCGCCCGGCAATGGGCGCCATTTTGAAACCGCGAACCCTCCCGCGGCTCCGGGCGGCTCCGTCCCGCTCCCGGCCCCGCGCCCGGCCCCGCTCCCGCGGCTCCCCCCGCCATGGCAGGTCGGTGTCCGCGCTCGGCCGCGCCTTCGGCTCTGGGCTGGGCTCCGCCATGGGCTGCGGGTGCGCTCCGCGCGGCCGCGGGAGCCGGGCGCAGGCCGGGCCGCGCCGGGCGGTACCGGGGGGGATGCGGGAGCGCGGCGGCCCTGAGGGCGCCGGGCCGGGCCGGGGGCGGCGCGGGCTCCCCACCCTCTCTTCTTCCCTCCCTCACCGCCCTCTCCCCCTTCCCTCCGCAGGGGTGGCGAGAGCTGGAGGCGACGGCGGCGGCAGCAGCAACGAGTTGCAGTGGTGCTTCTCGCAGGTGAAGGGGGCGATCGACGAGGACGTGGCGGAAGGTGAGGGGGGCGCGAACACCCCGAGTGCTCCCGGCCGGGCCGGGGGTGGGCCGTGACTAAGCGAGCCTCTCATCCCACCTTTAGAGCATCACACACAACTCACGGCGCCTTCCTCCTGGGCTTTTCTGCTAATCCCAGAATTATTAGGGTTGGAAGGGACCTCTGGGGATCACCCAGTCCATCTCCCTGCCCAGACAGGGTCACCTGGAGCAGGTGATACAGGAACGAGTCCAGGTGGGGTTGGAATGTCTCCGGAGAGGGAGACTCCACACCCTCCCTGGGCAGCTGTTCCAGGCTCTGCCACCTCCATGGAAAGAAGTTCTTCCTCGTGTTGAGGTGGAACTTGTTGTGTTTTAGTTTCTGGCCATTGCTCCTCATCCTGTCCCTAGGCAGCACTGAACAGAGTGTGGGACCATCCTGACACCCCTTGGAGATATTTGTGTGGATTGATGAGATCCCCTCAGCCTTCTCTTCTCTGGGCTAACCAGGCCCAGTTCCCGCAATCTCTGCTCATCAGAGAGATGCCCCAAACCCCAGATCATCTCTGTGTCTCTACTGGACCCTCTCTAGTAGCTCCTTGTCTTTCTTGTAGTGAGGAGCCCAGAACTGGACACAGTTCTGGGCTCAAGAGAAGAGGTACTGACAGTGATAAAACACAGGGAGAGGGGGGAAAAAATTCCCAGTGGAGTCTGTCAGGCTTGTCAAGTTTTGCTCTGACGTACAGAGAGTGCAGCTCTGTCATTTGTGCTGCATTAAAAAGTGCAGTTTAAAGGCTTCCTGCAGCTGTGGAGAGATTTTATTCCCACTTGTTAACGTTTGAGAGCTATAAATAGGGATATTAAGCAGGGAAAAAGGGCACACCTTCGCATTTCTCTGAAACTTTCCGAGTGTGGCATGTTTTGGACAGAGTAGAAAACAAGAAACGTTTTAGTTGGGAAAGGTGTTTCTCTGTAGTGCGGAACCAAGGGGGCATTTTGCTTGACTTTGATGAGAAAGTTCCTTTTTTTTCCCTAAATTTACTGTATTCAAACTGTCCAGGCTGGCACCACTTCTTTCTAAAGTGTGAACAGACTTTCAGGACTGTGTGTGTTCAGCTTGGATTTGGGATTTTTTTTTTACTGGGTGCAGTAAATATTTTTCCTTTCTGTCTGCTACTGGGGAATTATGCTGACAATGTTTTCATTTTCATGCCACTTGTTTGGCATTCCATTTAAAATAATAGCCATGGGAGGAATTGACTGGAAAACTGCTCAAGAAACTAGACTCAGTTGTTTTCTTCTCTTTTTTTTCCCTGTAAATATATTTTGTAGCTTTTACTATTGCTCTGAAGCTCCCAGAATTCTTATGGAGATATATTTAAGTAGCTTTTATGTTTGTCAAATGGTCCTTTTTTCTTGGGATCTGTCATCTGTGTGACTAGAAGTTGCAAAGGAAACAATCCTGGGGGCATCTGGCTCCATCTGGGGTCCCTTCCCAGGGGCAATTCCTGAGCAATGTGGATTTCTGCAGAGCGGGAAGGCTCCAGGAATCATGCAGAACCTGTGTTTTTGCAGAATTGGTGCTAGAGTTTGGTTTTCCTGTGGGAATACCAGAACTATTTACAGTTTTTGTGACTCCTTGTTTTTATTTTGGTTTCTGGCCTTTCCCTTCCTGTTACTTTTTGCCTTGAAATTGGAACTCAATAATGAAAATAAACAGTTTATTTTCTTATAATTGCCCGAATTTAAGTCAGCAGGATGCAGCAAGAGTGCAAATAACACTGCTAGAATTTTGGCCCCAGTTATGGACATATTTCCTCATTACTGTTTTTCAGTCTTCTCTTACCATACTGCACATCCAAACTTGCTTGATGGGCAGCTGTTGACTTGAAATGGCCTTGGGATTTCACCTAAGTTTTTGTGATAGTGAAAACTTGCTGTTTCTATCAGGTTTTGTTCAGTTTTTAAGCTCTCTAGTGGAAAATGCCAGCATGTCCAACTTATTCCATGTAGACTGTCTTGCTAAATTTCCTCACAGAAAGGTCATTAAGTAGCTGAAACTCCAAAGCCTGGTACTCAGGCAGCTTTACCCAAATATCACTTCCTTTACAGGGCAGGTCTAACATACATTTTATATTGAGTAGTCATTTCTCAGGTATGTTGCTTAAAAAAATACTGTGACAAGTGGCTGTATTAGATTGGCAGCTGCCAGCTCCATTCTCAGGATTTTCCTAACTGGGTCATTAATACAGAAAATCACATTCTCATCTTTGTCTTGTGTGTGGGTTCCTTTTGTTCAGGGAGAGACCCCTGAACTCTGGACAGGCTCTGTGTCAGTGAAGGGAAGGGCAGTGTTCAGAGAGCAGGAAAATCCATCACTTACTGAATGTGGACTTTCTAAAGTATTGACTATGAATTTTCCAAAGCAGAAAACTTTGGTTGGATTCATGGAGGAGGACTGGAGAATAAAACAGATGTTGAGTGAAACGTTTAATATTGAGGATGGCAATAAGCATAATTTAAAAACAAAGGTAATTTGAGATGTGTTGTAATAGTGTTGTTAGTATAAATCACGTGGCTCCAAACCCCACACTGATTGCCTGTGCAATTTGTGATTCTTGGATTGCCTCCTTCTGTAGGAAGGACGTTTCTAAATGTGGAATACAAATGCTGCCTGAGACCTTATTTCTTTCATGATTTCAGTGTTGAATTTGTTTTGCATGTTCAAAAATGTTCTGTTATGGGAGGTTGTTTTTTTTTTTTTGGAAAGCAAAATATAAACCAGTTTATTAAATAATGTGCAGATATGCCCAAATTCCCTTGTGCCAGATGTTCTGCATCTAGTCCATAGCCATTTCTGGATGTAATTCCATATTTTCAGTTAAGGATCAAAGAAATACACTTTTTTTTAATTCTCCAGATAGTGACTGGTATTGTCAGCCCTGATAAAGTGAGAGATCTCTTGTTATCCTCAGTTCAGCAAACTCCTTTTGCAGCCCACAGGGTGCTGGGTCACCTCAGCACTTTGCCAGAGAGCAGAACACCAGGAGCAAAGACAACTACAATCTAATAAAAATATATTGGCCTGTAATCCTGAACCTGTTCTCAAGTGCAGATACCAGTGATTTAGAAATGCTCTTATTGTTAAATTGTCTTTATAAATCAGTGGTTTAAAATGTTCTCATGTGTTGTTCAGGAATTTAACTGGCCTGTTCCCACTGTTTTTAAAGGAAATTCTGGCATGATTTCTTGCCTTTAGAAAAACTATTCCAGTAGAGGTACAGCTCTGTGAGACCTGGTTCTGGTCAGCATTAAGATCATCTTTTTTCTGGAGTCACTTCATGCTGGAGGGGGGCAGAAGATAGGCTCCAAGCTGTGGTTTGGATTTGGATTTTTCCTTGGAAACCAGTGGTTTGCCATAAGCAGGACTTCAGATGATCTTTGCCCTCCCCTCATTTTGAATTTGCCAGAGAAGCTGTGGCTGCCCCATCCCTGGAAGTGTCCAAGGCTGTCTTGGAGCAACCTGGGATAGTGGAAGGTGTTCCTGCTCATGGCAGGGAGTGGAAGGAGATGAGTTTTGAGGTCCCTCCCAATCCAAACCATTCCATGATAATATTTCACAAACAGTTTTGCCCTGAACGAGTGTTGGGTTCCAGCTGGAGAAAGCACAGTCAGCACTTCAGGCAGGCCATGTTATTCCAGAGATTTCATACAACCCATGGACCAAGAATTTGTCTTCACCCCAAGTTCCACAACACCCTATTACCTAAAAATGTGCTCAGCCAGTAGATAATAGGTATATAATAAGTGTTCTTTTGAATTCCAGTGGTGTCAGACAACAGAAGCCCCAGGGTGTTGTGGCACTGGAAAGTAAATTCCATTGTCTTACTGTACAGTAACATGTCCATAACTCTGGGAACTAGTAAGAACAGGTGTGTTTTGTGAGAAATGCAACAGGAGGGAACTTTGGGAAGTTTCTAGATTTACGAGTGAATAGCCGTGCTTAAAAAAAAAAGCTCCAGGTGATCTTCAGGATTTGTTGAAGTGGTCATGTGAGTGTTGTCATTCAGTTTTCTGTGGATGTGTCCATAGGATGTGTCCTGCCTGCTTATGTGCAATGAATTTCCATCTGTGATCTTTACCATGGGATCACACTTTGATTTTTGTGGTTTTTCTGGCGTGTGCACATGATGGGTTAATGGAACTGCAGGGACAGGAGGGGGGGAGTGTGGATGTAAGTACAGAAATGTTCAGCATTGTGAGCATTGGGACAGTGATACCTGTCTTTTTTGTAAAGGAAAGGAGTTTATGGTTCAAGTGGAGACCTTGGAGGCAGTTGGAAGTGGTTCAGAAATGCCTTTTTTTGGCTGTTGAAGCTTTCCCAGAGCTTTTGGGTTTAGCA